CTCCAGGGGATCCCATCCTCAGCAGCTCCGCTCAGCTCTTGCAAACTGCAGCCCGTGGAGTCGTCAAGGAACCCCTCCTGTATGCATGTCACAAGTTCATATAGGCTCGCGTTGTTCTTTGTTTTCAGTGCTTAGATTAAAAAAATAAAAGAGCTGGCCGAACAGCTCAGTGGAATGGAGCACCGGGCTGAAGAACCAGAGGTTGGGAGTTCGATTCCCCGTCGTCCCTCCCAGGAGAAGAGCCAGCCTGGGCAGCCTTGGGCCAGCTCCATGGCGCTCTGCTCAGAAGAAGGGAACAAGAAGCCACATCTGGATACTCCGTACCTGGGAAACCCTGAAAAAGGTTGCCGTAAGTTGGAGCTGGCTGGATAGCTCAGCAGTTTAGGTATCTGGCTGCAGAGCCAGAGGTTGTGAGTTCGATTCCCCATCATGCCTCCCAGGAAAAGAACCAGCCCAGGTAGCCTTGGGGCCAGCTGCATGGGGGGTCCAACCAGAAGAAGGGAACGAGACACCACTCGCGAATGCTCTATGTCTAGAAAACCATGGAAAGAGTCACCATAAGGCAGAGTTGACCCGATGGCATGGCATGATTAGAAGATGATGACCATGTCCATTATTTTATAAAACAGATGATGGCACTCTGTGAGGTAGCATTTCAGATGTCAAACTAAAACTCGGGAGACTCATGTTCAGCTTCCAGCTCAGTCGGAGGTTAGCTTTGAGCCACTCTCCCTTCCTCAATGAATCCTACCTGGCTGGGCTGTTGTGCCTGAAGCCCACCCACTTTAAGCTCCTCCAAGAAAAGGTAGGCTGCAATAATAACAACAGCAGCAACAACAACAAAAACACACCATCTGTGCTGACTGAAGGATGGGTTTCACAGGGAGGCAAGGAAAGCCAGGGTGACGTTAAACGTGGGAAGAATATCTTCTCCGTCTCTTGCCCTGGGCTGCTCAACTTGAGACTTTTCTTCATCCTGTTGGATGACAAGCCCCATCGTCCCTCAGCTTTGTCCACACTGGCCAGGGCTGATGGGAGCTGTAATCCAGCAACACTGAGAGAAGGCAGAGCTCGTCCACCTTGCTTTAGCACAAGGAGGGAGCTAAAGGGGTCTATCCAAGGTGTGGTTATTTTTTTAAAAGAGAGATAATGGAGCAGAGATTTGGAGAGGGCGAGAATGATGTGCGTAGCAAAAAGCAGTAGAAATAACAGAGCAATGGGCCCAGGTAGAGATATCTGGGGACAGGGTGTGGGGGAAATCGGGGCAAGAAGCCAGAGGATGATTGATCTCAAGTCCGTGACAGCCCATGTTGTCCCATCCTAAATGCCTTTTAAGGCCACTGAAGGGGTCCAAAGCTTTTCCGTTGTTTGCAGCACTTGATGACTCTGCCGCGGAGACGACTGCAGGCTTCAGCTGGATGGGGTGCAAGCCGACGGACTCCACAGAGCAGCGGCCTGTTGGAAAGAGGCCGGTGCTGTGGGTTGTGGCTTCTCTCTGTGATGACGCAGGTTTAGCAAAGGAAAAAAAAACCCATCACCAGCTGCGAGCGTCATCGAGCAATGAGGAGGCTCGGGCGATTGGACCAGGCCACCAACACACCGATCCCACAACCTGGAAACGTCTGTTTTTTGGATGACAACGCTCAGCGGCGTGGAGGATTCTGGGTGTCGTCGTCCAAAAACAGAGAGGAACGTTTCTAAGTTTTGAAACACAGAGCCGCTGAGCACCAAGTTAGTTTATTTTGTCTCCTTCAAGAGGTTTTAGGGGCTGAACTTCGGACGGGTCCCATGGGCCCAATTCTTAAACCCAAGTAACTAAGCTCTTGCAAACGGTCTAGGCACCTCCCAGGGTTTACTGGCCACTGAGATGGGGGGGGGGTTGCCCACCTGGACCAGCAAAGGACTCCCAAGGTGGGTCCGAGGTGGGGAAAAAGCCTTTCCTCCTGTGTAGACCTGGGAAGAGCCTTCTCGCACCCATGAACGACTCTCTCGAGGTGCGAAGACTTGATAAGGCAGGACAAGGCAGGCAGATATTGGGGTGAAGTTTATCAACAAGGAACACAAAACGAAACACAAATAAAAAGAGGTTGTGGAACGCTTGGGGAATTGCCACCTGCCTTCACACACCTCTCGGCTGGGCAAGCGGATTTAATCTCAAAAGGGGGGTTGCAGAAACAGAAGAAGGGGGCCTGAAAAGAACATCTGAAATCTGCTGCAAGAACCTGATAGAAAGGATGATACTTTGGGGGAATTTTAGCTTGGGGAAAGAGTGTAGAAAACATGCACAGTGCAGAGAAAGAACAGAGATGTTTTTGTAGGTTTTTTGGGCTCTTTGGCCGTGTTCTGGAGGTTTTTCTTCCCAAAGTTTTGCTGCTCTCTGTGGCCGGCATCTTCAGAAGGCAGGAGTCGGAACTCTGTCCGTGTTGTGGTGTAGTGTGTGGGACAGTTGAGTATTTGTAGCTGTGGGATCAGCTTTTTGTCCTTTTCAGGAGATTGGGTGACACAGCTACAAATACTCAACTATCCCACATACTACACCAGAACACAGACAGAGTTCCAGCTCCTGTCCTCTGAAGATGCCCATGGCCACAGAGACTGGTGAAACGTTAGGAAGAAAAACCTTCAGAACATGGCCAAACAGCCCCCCAAAACCTAGAACAACCACCGGATCCCGGCCATGAAAGCCTTCAAGAATACAGAGATGAGCACAGAGCTAAACTGTGGAACTCACTGCCACAAGGGTGGACTTAGAAGTCTCCAGGAAAAAATTGTTTCAACACAACCATGTTAAACGCTGTGTTCACACCACTATGCTGATGTTTGTCTGTGAGGCAGAATGGATCCTGCTGTACCTTGGAATAGCCATCACAGTGCAAATCATCCTTAGGTCTGATCTGATGCGTCTTTTCTGATGTTCATGCAGAGCCGTGAAGCCTGTGTGTAATTCTGCGTGGCTTCTTAATTGTAGCTCGGTTGTGTGCTTTTTAGCTGGGGGTACGAGATGCCACCCCCCAAAGGGGCTACCCTATGAAGTCAATCTTTTGGCTTCCAATAGAATCCATTTCTTCATAAATCGGCTTCTGGCGGCACCTTCGCAAAAGTTCCTCATTCCTGCTGCTAACATCACAGCCTGTGTTATTTCCCCCCCCCCTCCTTACTTATGTGGAGATTCGTAACCGTAATGTCTGTATTTTTAATCAAAACTTTCCTTTAGATAAGACTTCGCTGTAGGTCATTCTGCTTTGAGACGGTGTAACTCACAATCTCGATTCTTTGACAGACGCAAGAAGGGGATAGAGATCAATCAGAAGATTGTGAACAGGGAGAGTCAAACTGTGCTCTTTAAAAGATGTGGCTAAATCCTTGCTAGGTTGAAACCCCCCCACCCCACCCCCGAAAGACGAAATTAGTTTTCCTCCATGCTGGTCCGGTTGCGAACTTTAAAACTCCCTGTGTCAATGCATCTCCTTGGAAGGCGATGCTGTTGATTTGAAGATTAATGGAGCCCACTAAAGAGGGGGAAAAAAAAGCTCTTTTCATCTCTGAAAATAATGGACATCCCAAAGAGAAAAGCGCTATTTGCGTCAAATGCAGAATTCATTTCATTGGAAGGGCTGGTGGGACTTTGATCACCTTTTCATGCCACCCCGAACCACAAAGGCTTATATTCTGTTGTAATTTTGGCACCCTGTCTTTCCTATCTTATCTTGTGCGAAAAAGCTTGGAAAACACTTTCCTGGATCAGACACCTGCAAAAGCGTAAGCGGCGTGGTGCGCATCCGATCGTAAAATTGACTATAATTGGCTAAATTACACGGTGCGGTGAGAGCATCAGACAAAGACCCGGAATCTTTAGCCACAGAGAATGCCATTCTGGAAAAGCAGAGAAATGTCAGAAAAAAGAAGTTTTTGCCTCGCCTAATAGAATCCAGTTCTGGATCTGTTTTTTTTTTCCCCTGGCTCACTTTTGTTCTCGGAACTCGGCTTTAAAAAATGGAGTGTCTAAAACAATTGTTCCCAATTCAATTGCTGTGAGGAACAAAACCATTTGTCACCGATAATAAAGTTCCAGAGTTTAGGGCCAGGGGACTAGGAAAAAAAAATCTTTGATCAATACATGGGATGTGGTCAAAGTGAAAAACGGCGATGCAGAGAGAGAGTCAAGTAACTTTGCACGGAAAAAAAATGCCTTTTCTCTTAACCGTAGGAAATCTACAATTGTATTTTCCAGGGATTTGTTCCCTTTGCAGAGAAAAAAACAAAAGCGGGGTGGGTGGGGTGGGGTGGGACGTGGACGGAGAACATGCTGTTTTTTCCACTGGTAAACAAACAACGGTTTTCTGTTAGCAAAAATGATAATAATAAAATGATAAGAATCAGAAACAAGTGCCTAAGAACTAGCTGGATGAAAGAAAGATCAATAAGACAAGAAAGAAAAGACCGAGGCGATAAATACAGTACCCGGGTTTCAGAATAAAATAGAATAAAAGATGCGCAACACGAACAAAATGCAATCCGGTTCCATTTAGTACATTTCAATCCACGAAGAAAGGTTTTCCGCTTTGCAATCCAATCCGTTTGGCTGTGGCAGCTCTCTGGACCCCCCCCCCCACAATTCCACCCCCTGGCTCAATCCCAGAGAAGCTTTTCCTTCAGAGAACTCCCCGGTTTGTGAAAGACAAATCCCGCACACAGCATCCCAATCCGGTCCTATGAAAACAGGCAAGCATCCTTCTCGGTTTGCTCACAGCTCTGAAGGGCATCCTTAAGCAGCTTATTGCCTTGGAGGAGGAGAGGTGAGGTTGGAGGTCATGCGAAAAGCACCCAGCCCCCTGAAAGGCAGCCCCCCCAGTTCCCGCCACACACACCCTGATCTCCCAGCTGCAAATCGCTGGACTGGCAAAAGAAGCCGGCCGTGGTGCTGAGGACCGACTTTCTCCGGCACCCCAAAGACAAAGAGAAGCTGCAAGCTCTCAGGATTGAATGAAACAGCTGCCTACCTGCCTGCGCGCACTCCGAGTCTCGAGGCTTCCTCTGACGCCGAGTCTTGCACTGTGCCTCTGTCAGCGTGGCCCCTATATATATATATGGGCACGGGAGGCGCACAGACACACTGCACACCGCACACCTCCCCGGCCCATTAATACACGAGCCCTTGGCGAGTCCAGCCCTCTCACGAAGCCACCTGACTCGGAGCCTGACTAACAGCTGGGCACCCCTTGGCACCCTCGGAGGAACCCTTCCCAGAAAGTCTTTGTCACACTTGAAGCTCCTGGCGCGATGGCACGACGGCAGGCACTCATGCTCGCACGCACACCCATCGGGAGGAAGGCACATGCCCCAGACCACGCCACCCTCACCCGCCCAGGCAGACAAAGCTCACAGGAAGTCTTTCACAGGGAGACGGCCTTGCCAGGTCACTCTGGCATCCTCGGTGAGGTTGCCAACGAGGGGCAAGAGGCTCCCGGACCTCGCTGGGCAGAAGGTCCTGCTCCCTACTGGGTCCGGGGCTTCCTCCATGGAGGTAGGCATCACCTGCTCTGACGGGGAGCCTTCGGCGAGGTCCTGAGACCGAGGCCCTTCCACTTCACAGATCCTTTCAACTGGAGGCACCAGGAACCAAGGTCATAGACGTTCCATGTGCCACACACATGTTCCATCACGGAGCCATGGGCTCCTCCTCTCCTTGAGAGCAGGCTAAATGTGCGCGTTGGGAGGTCCCCGTTTCAAATCCCGTACGCTCTCACAAGATCCCTGGGAGGCCTCGAGGGGAAAACGTTCTATGCCTTAGTCTTCCTCGGATCTAACCAAGGAGCAATTTTACCAGCTACAGGGATGATGAATAGGTTGCAGGTGAAACGTTTTGAAGGCTTGGAATGTGCTGCGTAATTATTACATAGCGATCTTGACCAGAAAAATAATAATCCTTTGCTGTCTAGTCAATTTTCTAGACTTTTTTCTGGGTGTTTCAGCTAGAGAATACTCATAAAATGGTTTCCCGTTCCCCTTTTTCCGGGGACATCCTGGGACTACTGTGCAGCTGGTCCAAGGCCACCCAGGCTGGCTCTTCTCTCATGAGGCCCAGTGGAGGAATTTGAACTCCCAACTTCTGTCTCTGCAGCCCGAGACCCAAACCACTGAGCTAGCCAGCCAGTTTTTACCAGCAGCTCTTCATATAGTTGTCACGGCTTAGTTTTATCTTCTACAGATTAAACATGGCAAGATCTCCCAAGAATGCCTTAGAGCAGTGGTGTCCAACCTTGGCCCTCCAGATGTTCTTGGACTTCGACTCCCAGAAGCCTTCACCACCACCTCTGCTGGCCAGGATTTCTGGGAGTTGAAGTCCAAGAACATCTGGAGGGCCAAGGTTGGACACCACTGCCTTAGAGTATACAGTACTTGGTTTCCAGACCCTATGCCATCTTGGTTCACCCTTCTGTGGACGTGGCCTAGCTTCCTGAACCATCTTCTTAAGGTGCGGTGTCCAGAACTGGATGCAGGATTCCAAGGGAGGAATGACCAAAGCAGGGTAGACTAGTACAATTGTTCCCTTTGATCCGGTCACTGTATATCGTGGGATCTTAGAATCATGAAGTTGGAAGGGGCCTGTAAGGCCATTGAATCAAACCCCTTGCTTGATGCAGGAAGACAAATCAAAGGATATTTGCCAGGCAGCTGTCTAAATTTCTTTTGAATGCCTCCCGCGTTGGAGCGCTCACCACCTCCCCCTGAGCTCATGGGCTCCATTGTTGTACTGCTCTAACAGTTAGGAAGTTTTTCCTAATATTCAACCGAAACCTGCCTTTCTCTAACTTAAGCCCATTGTTGCGTGTCCTGCACCCTCAGGGCCCACACTCTGCCCACAGCATGCCAAATCTGTAGCTTTCAGTTGGCCTCAGGAAGAAACAGACCGCCAGGATGGGCAGAGAAATAACGATTGTTTTCCTCCTAAGGATGGCAGGCATCTCGTACACTCAGAGTTACCCTGAGAGCGTTGCTCATCCTGCGGAGCAGACTTCTCTAGCCGAAGGTCCTCCAAAGGAGTTGGATTACAAATCCTATGCTCCTCGAGCCCACTGTGGTGGCTCGCAGCTGATGGGAACCTCAGCCCAGCGCATCATGTCGGGCACCAGGTTAGGGAAAGTTGCTATGGGGGGAAAACCCTTCAAATTACAATCAGGACCACGGAGAGGTCACGGTGGAGCTGGACTCTAAAGCAAAAGGAGCAACCGTCACCAATTTGCTCTAAGCTGTCCTGCTCCATGTGGCACAAGCAGAGCACATGGGGGTGGGGGATGTGGCCGCGGAGACTGAGTGACATAGTATTGAGGTGCAAACGGGGAAGGTCAAGAGGCCAAGGATTCAGCAACTGCGGTCTTTGGTCTCTCCTTGAACAGATCCATGTTGGGAGTGACAATAATCTAAGCCAGCCTGCCATCAGGGAGATACTCTGCTAGAGACATCCCCTTCATCCAGCCACTGGCTATCACAGAATTGTGAAGTGGGAAGGGGTCTGTAAGGCCATCTAGTCCACCCCCCCTGCTCGATGTAGGAATATCTAGAAGGGGCCTGTAAGGCCATCCAGTCCACCCCCCTGCTCGATGTAGGAATACGGATCAAAAGAAATCTGCCAGGGGGTGGTCTAAAATTCTTTCGAAGGCCTCCAGTGTTGGAGCACTCATCACTTCTCGAAGTAATTGGTTCTACTGTTGTACTGCTCTAACAGTTAAGGAATTTTTCCTGATCTTCAGCCTAAATCTGAGTTCTTGTAACTTGAGCCCTCTGTTGCTTCTCCTGCCCTCTGGGATGATCGGGAACAGATCCCGCCCCTCCTCTATAGGGCAGCCTTTCAAATATTTGAAAAGTGCTCTCCTGTCACCCCTCAGCCTTTTTTGCTCAAGGCTAAACCTGCCCAATTCCTTCAGCCTTTCCTCCTTGGTTTCCAGTCCCCTGTTCCTCCTTGTCAGCCTCCTCTGAACTTGTTCCAATACGTTATCCTCCTTGAAGTGCGGTGTCCAGAACTTGGCACAATACTGTACTCAAGGGGAGGCCTAACCAGGGCTGAATAGAGGGGGAGTAGCATCTCATGGGATTTGGAGACTATACTTCTGTCAATGCAGTCGAAAATCGCATTGGCCTTTTTTGCAGTCACATCACACAGTTGGCTCGTATTCAGCTTGTGATCTACGACAATTCCAAGATCCTTCTTGCTTGTTGATTGAAGCAACAATACGATAATTCCAAGATCCTTCTTGCTTGTTGTATTATTGGGAGATTGAAGATGGGAGGCTGAAGATGCTTGCAGCCTGCGGCAACCTTGCTGGGGAGCAAAAGGTGGTGGTAACGTCCCCAGTTTGCATCAGAGTTTGGGAATATATCCTTTTTTACTACAACTCCCGGAATCCCTGAGCCAACAGAGCTGCTGCTTGCTTGGGATTCGTAGTCTAAAAATAACCTTCCCATGTTTTAGTTTGCATGCAAAGGTTTATATTGGCCTTTTCAGTCTACTGTGAGTCCCCTCTCCCTCCAGGTACTGAGCAGTCCTACCAAACTGATCTTCAACTAATCTTTTTTACCTTTGTTTTTGTTGTCACGTTGCTCCCAATCACCGATGCCTCTATGAATTAATGACCTCCAAAGTTCCTATCATAAACAGCCCTGCTCACGTCTTCCAAAGACCTCCAAAGTTCCTATCATAAACAGCCCCGCTCACGTCTTGCAAACTAAAGACCATGGCTCAGTCTTCCTCCTTTCCTATGGCCTTCACATTTTCCTAACATTATTGTCCAGGGAGCCTTGCTTTCTCGTTATCTCTCCAAGGTCTAACAGCTTCAACTTAGTCATTTTAGCTTCCAGGAAGATTCCAGGCTTAACTTAATCTAGAACCTTGATTCTCCAGTGGCCCATGGTATGTGTATAACTCCATACACATACCTTTGGGTAGAGTGGGCGGCATATAAATTAAATAAATAAATAAATATCGTTACCTGCTATGACCTAAATCCAATCTCCAGTTTTGCAGATACAAAGAACACGGCATTGCTCCGTGTTCCTACTCTAAACCAATTCAGGACCCCGTATAGTTCACCCAAGGCCAGCCAGGCCTCTTTTAGTCTCTAGAGATGTACGGCAACTGTGTAAACTGATCTCTTTACCCTTCCATTTTTATAGAGTCCTTGGAATTTTCACCTTGAAAGCCAGTCTGCCTGCAGAAACAATAACTATTATATGTTTCAATATCTTTGTATTTTTTTTAAAAAAAACACACACAACTCAGAATTATTAGCTCTTAAGGAAGCTCTACTTTAAACTGTGGAGTTGGATTTTCATAAAGCTGGTCTCCAAGTTCTTGTCATCTCTCGTCTCCTATTTCATCCCAGAGGTTGTCCAATGGGAAGAGCTGAACGCATGAGTTGTGTGTTCCTCCTGCAGAGTGGCGTCTCCACCCACGTCCACCAGTACTGGGTGGACCAGCCGAAATGCTGGCCTCTTGAAAAGTGCAGGATTGTAAAACCAGCCAAGAGATCCACCCAAGACAGCTTCTGCAGACAGCTGTGGTATTGCAGTAATACATTCTCAATAGAAGAGGCTCCTCGTGATCGTCCCCATACCAGCAACTCAAGGGTGGGACTAAAACTGCAGGCACGTGTGTTGATCCATGACAACGACTGCTTCTAAGAACTTCCATCTCCATGGGGATCGGGTCTTTTGTAAAGCTAATGGGATTTGACTGCTGAAACAGAGGAGGGACATCATTACTGGGAAAATCTGTTCCCTTGGCTCTTTGCTATTGCAGATTCCCAGGTCATCTCAGAGGAAAAAGAAGTTGTTGAAAGAGTGATGGATTATGTGATTGCCCCTTTGATGTTTAACTCTTGTACGATGGCCCTCACTCCTCATGATCCATTTACATGAGTATTTTCCAGGATCCTCGGAATTCATTTTGCCTAGACAGACATTAGCAGCGGTGGCTAGAAGGGTCACTTGGAGCCAAGTATGGTCTCCAGCCTCCCTTTTTCAGTTCTGAAACCAGATAGAAGAACACAAGAAGGTCCAGTGATGTCTGGCACTGAGGAAACGACTTGGTCAAGCATTCTGTTCTGACAGTGACCTGGTTGGCATCTCACAAGTCATCACTCTCTAGGGACAGCCCAGTTCTGTTGTATTTTCATCTACTTGGGGAGGAGAGGCTGAAGGT